TTATGCCAAAACCGAACACGAACATTTGTCGATAAATTGTTAAAATTCGGGTCGACATTGACAAGTTACCTGGGTGAAAACAGTTCTTACAGCTTTTATTGTACTTTTGAAGCTTCCTGTGAGGATAAAAGTCCCAAAAAAGGTTACAGACATTAAAGGAACGCGTCTTCGACAAATCGCCATTGTCGTGGAAGAAGCAAATGCTCAATACTGAAATTTGCCTTATTACAAAGCAGAAAACTTGAACTTGAACGTTAAACGTTTTGCCAGGGGAACGCATTACTACACGGTTAAATACGGCATATGTATGCTTCACTAGAATATAAAAATGGTGCTGTTCTTACTTGTGCATCTCATATGTGTCTGAGAGAGTGTGTTCGCGTGCCCGTTGGTTATTGAAGAAAGCATTGGTGGCAACTGGGAACATTGGTATCAGTATGTCCTGGTGGTTCCAGACTTGTGGTCCGTTTACACGTATTTAATCTCGCTATTTGTCGGGCGACAAGAGCAGCGACTGGGTTACAACTCCAAAATTGCCCATGTAAACAGCCTACCATTTCACGGCGATAACGGCGCGATTTTTCGCGGGCAATTCTCAGCAAATTCGATCATGATTGAAATTTAAAGCAACTTTGCGGTCATTTACGCACGAAAACACCATACCTACTCCGCTCGGGAGAAAATTGTTATACCCGTTGTGGACATGACAACATCACAACTTCTAATGAACCAAAAAAGGTTTGTGGGTTCAGACCCTTATCAGTGAATGGTCGAAATAAGAATGCTTATGTGAGAGCTCAAAGCCTTGATTTTAAATGCCACGATAAGCTCACATTGGTGAGGGAAGTGACATAAAGGACAGTTGACGATGAACTTGAAAGTGAATTCAGTTGTAAAAGAGGTTCTTTTTAATGCTTACTGACTTTATAGGAGAAATCATTGTTTACAAACATTGTTTTTGTTATTCGAATGTGTAACGAAGGAAACAAGAGAATCTTTTGCTTCAAGAACCTATGTGCTTCTGGCAGGAACATTAATATCAATAGGTGATGTCAGCCTGAGTATGCGCAGCGTAAAGCATTTCCAAGGTTCAGGTCGATAAGGGCTGAAATTCGATTAAAGCTAAAACTATTGTGACGTCATTGCCACGTGATATTTATTCCGATCGCCCAAAAAATAATATCATAATAAAGTTTAGTCTTTGTGTTCTATGTGTAACACATGTGTTGTAATGGTCTTACCATAAAAATCAATTTATTTAAGTATATGAGATTCAAAGATTGTATCGAGCGACCTTAAATTGCCTATATGTATGTAAAAGTGTCAGTTGCCTTGACGACAGATGGTGATGATATTTTGCGGAAGACGTAAGTCAAACTATGGTCGCTAATTTCGACATGGCACACTCCAGAACAAATAGTATTGTCTGGTTATGTGACAAGAATAACATTTCTCGTAGGCTCGTTGATAAGTTGTTTTAAATAGGCCTTTTTCAAAAATACTATAATACTCTTTGTTGTCCCTCCAAAATTTTGCATAAGCATTCTTTGCAATTTCTCTTGTTTCAAAGAACGCGACGTCGCCGTTGTCGGATCGTAAGGCCCCTATCATGGTCGACACTCGACTAACTGATGACTAACAACGGCAAGAAGTCGATGGAATGTCGACCGAAGCATATAAACAGTAGAAATTCCTCAGTATTGAAAGCAAATTGCCTTAGTGAGACAAGGTCAAGACATCGTTCGGAGTAACAGTTAATGTGATTTCAGCAAATACTTGAACTTGTACTTGTTTGTTTGTTTTTAATTTGACGGCGTTGATAGGTCTCTACGTGGTTAAGTTTATATTTTGCTGGTGTCGCTCATAACAAAGGCCTGTGTATCTTCACAATAAGTCTCTGTTCGGGCAACTTCGTTTGCATGTGAGTTCGCTAGGCTAAGGAGCTAAGAGATCTCTTTAACTTGGAGGTCCTAGGAGAACTTGACCCTTTGTCTTTTCATAAATTACGCGTAGATATGCACCTGAATAAGATGTACTTTGAAAGAAACAGTTCAATAGAGTATTAACACATTACCTGAATAGAGAAAACAAAAGATTTAAGTTAAAGAGGTCTATTGTACCATTATCAGCCCTCTGTGTACTTTTTTAGAGAGGTGAAATTGTACGTCATACTTCATGACCTTAATAATATGGATACCTACCCGTCTGTTCTTGCTTTAATTATACAGAGACTTTCCCCCCTGTGCCGCTATTATTCTTGCGAGTTTGTAAGGTTTTTTGCGAATATCGAATCTGCAGGTGTATGGGTGGATTCATCGTGACGTCTTTGTTTACATTTTTGCTCATGACCATACGAGTTAACGCACAGAAGATGTAGCCGTATATACCAATTAGGTCGAAGCATTGGACAAGACTCGTTTAAAACTGACTTACAAGGTCAAAAGGTTTTCATGCTGGTTACAGGTTAACAATGTGAGTTGCCGACAAATAATACTCGCTTCAGGTTTACTTTTCTCGTGCTAAATAGAGTAATGGACTACAGCAAAAGAAAATTGCGTTTTAACATATACACTATAGGCTTGGTCTTTTTGTATGGGTTTTTCTAAGTGAAATTTTCACCTTGGAACTTCGACATGCTGGCCATTGCCGCGGTGTATAGATTGTCAACTAACAATTTATCGCCCCAGTAAGGTAATCCGAATTCCAGAATCCGGGAAACTTTTGCTACTGGAATCTGGAATCCAGGAAACTTTTTCTTTTGGAATCCAAAATCCTGGGCCAAGGAATCTGGAATCTCGCTAATGATTGTAATCCAAAATCCAAGTTCCGCTGACAAGGAATCCGGAGTCCAGTACCTGAAATCCAGAATCTAAGACTGTTTTGGCAGTGAATTTGACCTGCTCTGTGTTTCTGTGTGATTACCGTAAATTCTCTGTTAAGCACCCCTCTCAAATGAGCCCCCTGCCCCTAGTAACCCCACCCCCTTTTCAGGGGAAGAAAGCTAAAAAGCCCCCCTCCCTTCCCCTAATTATTCTTCACTAATAAAAGATAGACTTTATTAATCAATTACCACTGTAAAACTTTTGTGGACTGATAGCCCCGGTAGTCTGTTGAGCCTACGAGAAACCGCTTTTTTAAAAACGTCTTCAGGGAGGTACATGTGAATTCCCTCTTTAAAAAAAAAAACATACAAACACAAGTTTTGTAGGGAATTAGCTGGGGTGTGTATGGGCAAAAATAATTGGATCATCACTAGTCTGTTGTAATTTCAGGTTCAAACACGGGGAAACGGCTTTTGTCTCCAAGTAGCACTCCAGCATCAAAAGTCCCAAAATGTTTGAGAGATGAAGGTAAAGTTTGTTTATGCATGATTTAGTTTATAACCGTCTCAGTACTGAAAGCAACATAGGAAGTAGAAAGATCTGCGTGGACGAACTTGTGTTCTTAAAAGTTTTTGTGCCCCCTGCCACACCCCTTCCTCCTCCTGCTTTAGAGATGGATACTCAAGATGCTGGGGTCACTCTCATTCGTTCAGTAGCAAAACTTAAACTCAAGTTTGACGCACGCTCTCTCTATTTCGTGCGTGCTTCACATTTCACAAAGTTGAACCTGGTAAGTACAGAATTTTTTGTTCGCATTTTCTCAAACTCTAATCAAGTCCTATTCTTGTCTCAAGTGCCTAATGATTTATTTGTGCGAAGGTAGTGTGGCGAAACGCAAAGATGCTTTTCTGGTTTGATTATTTGTTTTTAAACTGATTTTACGTGATAAATAGGCCTCAAGAATTCAGAAGCTGAAGTATATTTAACTCTTTCACCCCTAGAGCAAGTTATGGCGAGATAATTTGTCATTCTAAGTTCTGCATCTGTGAACGAAACCCTATAGTGTTACCATTTAAATGAATTCTCTTTGTTAGAACTTTTACTCAGTGCTATTTATTTCGTGGGATTTCACTAAAAAGAAATCTGGAATCTTTGTGAGTTTTCCCTTTTCCACTCTTACTAGTGGAGAGGTAAATGTAGGAGTGGCTGAAAATTGATTCCTCATAAAAAATATGGCTGTTAGTTTCTCAGTGGTGCTGCGTGCGGGAGTGAAATGCACAAAAATTGGTTTTATCAACTGAGTCGACACAGGTAAATTGGCCACCTTGAAGAGGTTTTAAAGCATACGTTTCGAGAGCTAACCCCGCGTTAGGTGTTTTCGTTATTCAACATTTCCTTTTAAGGCCTATCTGTAGTAAAATACAGTCGAACCTCCAAGTGCGACCACCTCTCGTAAGCGACCACCTATCCAAAACACCAAACGTTTCCTAGTCGAAGCTGTACAGTTGGAACCTCTCGTAAACGACCACCTCCTGTAAGCGACCGTGACAACTTTTTGGGGCTGACGGCTTTATAGTTTTTTATTTTTTTTACCTCTCGTAACCACTTAATGCATGGTTTGAACTCTATGCTAGCTGGGTGTACTATTCCACTCAGTGACAACATAAAGCAACACATATCGTAACTTGGATGCAAAACATTATCCTCTATAAAGTAGATGAGTCCTGATCTCTTGTCGGAAGAGAACCCCTGTTGTTCTATTCTCGTAAGTGATCACGTCCCGTAAGCGATCTTTAACTCTTAACATTTTGGGCAGTAGCTTATGGGAGGTTTGACTGTTTTTGATTTACGTACAACTGACGTAAACACTGACGTCGGCGAAGACTTTAAAGTAGCGTATTCTTTTAACTCCCTGTAAGTACTCAATGTAAAGAGAGTTTACGGTCATTCAATGAAAGAAAGGGAGGACAACATTTTACAAATACCCCGGTCGTAGCGTCAAATCCTCTTATTTGTTGTTACTGACAGATATTTCCGATCTCCTTGTTTCCAACAGGCAGGGACAGCTTGGTTATTGTGAAATTACTAAAAAAGGAATACAAAAGGCGCTCGCAGCTAAGACCACTTTTTTGGGATAACACCATCCAGTTGCCCATAGAACAAGTCTACACAAGACTGAAAATTATTTCAAGAGGAAAGTTGGCCATCCAAAGAAAAGACGACGATGTGAATGTGTTTGACATCTTCAACGTTCCTGATATAGGGGAGGATGTTATAACGATAGTAGAGGGAAGTCCAGGAATCGGTAAAACTACGTTTTGCCTGAAGCTTGCTTATGACTGGGCTCATGGAAATATCCCATCGAAGTGCTCCTTTCCCAAATTTGAATTTGTGTTTCTCCTCAAATGTCGTGACATTGATGGAGATTTAATGGAAGCTATCAGTGAACAACTTTTGCCCAGAAAAATGGAGAAGTCTGTGGAGAACTTGTTGCACTTGATGAAGGACATTCATAACCAGGAGAGACTGATTTTAATCATTTTGGATGGATTGGATGAGCTACCTGAAAAATCACGGCACCATGTGGATGAGCTGCTTCACAGAAGAATTTTACCATTTTGCTATGTCTTGGCTACAACACGACAAGAAAGGGGAATCGAAGTAAGGAAAAGCGTTGTCTTTGACATTCACTTAGAAATCAAAGGGTACACGGAAAGTGATGCTATTGCGTACGTCAGAAGACACTTTGAAACCATTGGTCAGTCATCAAAGGGGGAGAGGCTTGTTCAGGAAATGGAACAGAACACCATGTTACATGCACTTCGAAACAACCCACTAAATCTACTTCTTCTCTGTGTTATTTATGAAGACTATGATGGAGAATTGCCAACTTCCCGGACGGAACTTTACGAAGTCATTGTCGAGTGCCTTTTAAGACGCCATTGTGTAAGACACAGTCTGGTGGTACCGAAAGATAACACCACTTTACGGAAACGATTTGAAGAAGATGTTTTTGCTCTTGGACAGCTGGCTTGGACGTGCCTTCTGAACGATCGTCAATCTTTTCCCGAAGGAGAACTGGCAGAACTTGAGGTCAGAAATAAAAACCTGGTAGCTCGCAACATAGGCCTTCTTTACAAGGAGGAAAGTCGGAAGAGAATAAGCCCACAACACGAGTACTGGTTTCTTCACAAGACCTTCCAAGAATATTTGGCTGCCGCTTTTATTACGCACAAGCTACTGAGAGGAGAGAATGTGTTCGAGTTCATGACGTTTGATGATTTGGTCCGAAGCCCACAAGTTTTTCTTTTTGTCTGTGGTATGCTGGGCGAGAAAGCAACCGTGTTATTCGCTCAGATTGGCGAGAAGTTAAATGAGAAGGAAGACTGGTACTGGGACGATTGTAGCCAGCAGGAAGCAATGTTCTTTGTAGAAATCTTTAGTGAAAGTGAACATGCCGAACAAATGGCAACTATTCTTTGTAACATTAAGCCTTTTCCAGAGGTTGTATATCCTACATACAGTAAAGATGGCCCCTGCCTTCGGGTTTTAATGGCTTGCAAAAGCTTTTCAAACGTAAAGACTCCTGCTTACTTTCATGCTGAACTTTTTGAGAATAAAGAACTGGATCCTAACATGACATGGATAGAAACGGACCTTGTAATAGATTGTATAGAATCCCTCTCGAATTTGACAATCGTTAGCCTTGGAGTTTTTGACAGTGTTTCTCTGAGAACATCCCATGCAGATCGTCTTTGTAAATGGTTATCTGTAAGCAAGAGTTTATCAGAGTTTATTCTCAAATTGGAACAGGTTTGCGTTGACGGTGACGTGCCTGTTCTATTGGGCAAAGGGTTGGCTTTATGTCAAACCGTGACAAAAGTAAAGTTAGCAGTTCCTGGATACGGTAGCGAGGCTTACTTCAATGTTCTTGAAACTGGATTGTCCGCCGACAACCAACTTACGTCTGTCGTTGTCGAGATTTATGGCTCAGTGAGTTCCGCTGTGGTACAAGCATTACAAAAGCTATTATCAAATAAGTCTTTGACATCTCTTTCTCTCAGCATTTACGGAGATGTGCAGGATTTATTAGCTAGTGCTGTCAATGGAGCACTTGCAAGGCAGTCAGTTTTGAAATCTCTTGATCTACGTCTTAGTGGAAAGCTAAGTCCTTTGGGTGCCAATTTGCTACAAAAAGGTCTATTAGAAAATAGTTCTTTGAACTCATTCAAAGTAATTGTTCATGGTGAGCTCCCTAGTAACTGGCAGTCTGTTGTGGAAAACCTTTATTCGAGAAAGAAGTCCCTAGTTACCTGTACTCTATATCCAAACACCTTGGACAACATAGCAGAAGAACATGTTGATCTTTTTTTGCCGGAAAAGGAATTAGCACCAAAGCAGCACTTGACTGTGAACGTTTGGGGTGAGCTGAATTGTGAAGGAGCACAATCTCTATGCAAAGTCTTCGGAAGTTCCTCCTTTGCTTATCTAACTTTAAACGTGCGTGGAAACTTGGCCGGTGATGTAATTTTTTCTATCGCAAGTGATCTGGAAGGAAGCAAGACACCCTCTTTCCTGACCGTCAATATCTGGGGCAATTTGACACCAGAGGGACGAACAATTCTTTCCAAACTTTCAAAGAACAACCCTGACGTTCATTTTAATGTACATGATGTGCCAGAGGAATCTAACCATGTCCTTGACATCTCTATCGATAATCCTGCGGCATTAAGAGCGTTTTCCGCTAAAGTCAAGAATAAGGACAAGGTCAGTCTTTCAATCAACCACAGCAATAAAGACGTCATTAAGGACATGATAAGTTGCCTAGGTGATGCTTTGGCAGAAAACCCTTCAATGACTTCCCTTGATCTTACAGTCAACAGCTGCTGCATGGATGAAGACTTGGGAGAAGACCTTGGGAAAAGGTTATTGCAAAGCACTTCTTTGACCTCTCTTGGTCTCACACTCAACTGCGGTAACCTGAAAGAAGGATGGGCATGCAAACTGGGTGACTGCTTGATGGAAATGGCAACTTTAGCTACACTGAGCCTTGAACTAAATGACTGCAGTGAGTGGAATGAGGAAGATTTTCTCGGCTCGTATAAGCTGAGAAACGTGTTGGTGGAAAACGATTCATTATCTACCCTTTCTGTTGCAATTCCTTCCGGAATCGGGAACATGTTTTTGAAGAAAGTCATAGATCACTGTTTGCTGGAGTGCAAGTCACTTAAAAATCTCAGTCTGGTATTCAGTATATGCGACTACTGCCTGTACCTTGATACCTTAGATTCCACAACCTCATTAAATACACTCACTCTGGCAATTTCTATTAGTCATCATGTTTTCGAGCCAGCAGTACACGACTTTTTTGAAAACCTCTATGACGGTTTGTCATCAAACGCATCATTAACTACACTTACAGTTTCTGTGTCACTTTATAATGTTAAAGTACATGTTGAACTTGACAGGCGCCGTAGGCGGATGTTCGAGGACGGATTGTCAAAGAACAAGTCTATAACGACGTTAAGTTTCACAATAAATGAATTCGGTGGACTCATGATGTCGTATGTGGGAAGGCTTTTAAGTCAACTAAGAGTTTTTGAAGGTTTGGCGCAAAACACATCAATAACCACATTCAACCTGACACTCAACAGTAACAAAGAAGTGACTTATGAATGGTTACCAGCCCTTTGCGACGCTTTGAAGAAAAACTCTTCACTGACTACACTGAGATTGAAAGTGAACATCCATTGTGCTAGAGGTGAAAGTCGTTTATATGACTTTAGTAAACTTATGATAGAAAGCAAATCGTTATCCTTACTTGAACTCGAGGTAAGTATTTATGGAAAGGAAAATAACAGAAGATTTTATTCACAGTAGCAGATACTATTTCGATTTGTGGGCTTCACATAGCAAACATCGCGCAGAATGCTTATTCTTCTCATGTGATGCATGGCGATCATCGCAGAAGTTCTGTTTTTCCGATCCCGAGCTGCCAATAGCTTCTCACGTGCATGCAACTCCACCCTTGGCTGAAGAGGCACAGCAGTGGTGGGTAATTTAGACTTAAGTCTCCGACTGTTCAGCACCTGTAAGGGCGAAAGGCCAATACCACTGACAGGGCACGGGTATTTCGATACTCTATCGCTCTCACACGAATGTTAATACAACATGAGTTACTAGTAGTTTTAGAGTTTGATAAAAATTGTCACCGACTCGTGTGACTTGTATGCCATCTGGTCCAGTGTGACCAAGGTTAATACAACATGAGTTACTGGGAGTTTTAGAGTTTGATAAATATTGTAACTGATGATTGTGAATTGTACACCATCTGGTCCAGTGAGGCCACGGTTAATACAACACGAGTTACTAGTCGCTTTAGAGTTTGATAAATATTGTAACTGATGATTGTGACTTGTACGCCATCTGGTCCAGTGTGACCAAGGTAAATACACCATGAGTTGCTTGTAGTTTTAGCGGTTGTCAAATATTGTAACTAATGATTGATATAGTATTTTATATTTCAATGGAGTTTGTATGATAGTGACAAATATACAGAAAAGAAATTATGATTTAGTTTGTATTAAAATATGTAAACTGTATTTCACTATGATTAAGTTAACTTGGCCTTAGGTAAAGAGCACCGATTCTTTTGTAAATCGGCTGTATTGTTATTTGTGAATGCAATGAACATTTAGAAACAAGTAAGTGAAAGCAGTGCAATCTACCTTCAGCAACAAACGCGTCAAGTTTGTTTATTTAGAATGATGTTATTTAGTTTCATTTTTAACTTAACAAAATAAAGTTTGTAAAGTAAAAATGCCTAGTATCAAATTCTTTGTAGTAATTCAGATTATATTCGTATTCTCGGGAGCGATCGGGAGCTAGCTTGTAGTCGAGGAACATGCGTTGGGGAGGGGGGGGGAGAGATTCTTCCCTTTAACTCCTGTATGAGCCCCGGTTTCTTGCCGGTTCCAGACCATCAAATAGAGTAGGGAAGTGGAGTATTTACGGTGTGAGTTTTATAGTGGCTAGATGTACCTTGGTTTTTCCTCAATATGGCTTCTAGGGGTCGTTGTTCATTTAATGTTCGTTAACTCCCTGAAGTGCCTTGAAAATATTCACAAAGAATACTCGCGAAAGTCCTGGTAAGAGCACAGTCATTGGTCATTTTTAGA